GGAGAATTTAGGCTTGATCTGCTCTTTACACTTTAGGATCTTCTCTAATTTTTTATGGTGGCCCTTCCCATTTCTAGTCTTCTTATTTCTTCACAGCAGTCTCCATTCTGAGCAAAAAGAATTTTTTTGGATTTACATATGTGTAACTAAATAACATCTTCCAGTCCAACCCCTGATAGAGGTGCTGCTTCTGATTGTCAGTCTTACTCAGTGGTAGAGGACAGAAGCATCCTCTGTTGTTGTTGTTGCTGTTATTATTATTATTATCCTACTTTTTTCCTAAAATTGGGACTCAAAGCAGCTTCCAGTTTAAGAAATACAATTAAAAACATACAAAGTCAGCATTACAATACAAACTGTTACAGTATTAAAACACATCACTCATTAAAAGAATAAAATGCAGTTTAAAAGGATAAACTTTTTTACAGCAAGACAATGTAGTCTTTCTGAATACAGGGCAGTGATGGATCTGTAACTCTGCATCTGCACTGCAGAAATAATCCAGTTTGACAGCAGTTTAAGGAGATTATCGCACAGTTTAATAAAGCAACTTACCTCTCCCGAGTTGAAATCTCATTCGGGCTGCAGCTGGGTTCTATCGCATGGATTTTGCCACCAAATCCACCAGCTGAGTACAACCCCGCTGCAGCCCAGGTCCCAGGCATGCTCAGCAAGCCGCTTTTCAAAGTCAGTAACTTTCTGACTTTGAAAAGCAGCTTGCTGAGAGCACCAGGCTGCAGCCAGGCTGTACTCGGCCAGTGGATTCAGTGGGAGAGGAAAGTGGCTTTATTAAGCTGTGTGAAAATCTCCTACTATAGTTTGTTGTGGCCCCAGAACTCTCTGACAGAGGAGGCTAAATATCTCACAAAATTATACATTCCAGACCACAGCATTGAGCCATGGCAATTAAAGTGGTGTCAGATTGGATTATTTCTGTAGTGCAGATGCAGCCTAGGGTACCGGTAAATGTGTTTTTCATTTCTATAGTAATAGAGTGACTTTTGATCTCCAAAGGGTGCTGATATAGAGTTTGATTGTTTTTTTGTTTGTTTTTAATTTAAACATTTTGAAAATTTCCCAAAAAAAATCTGAAAAAAGAAGGGAAACTGATTTGTTCTTGACATGGCTTCAACATCCCAGAAATTTTACATCTCCAATCTGAAGTGAGCCAGGAAATGAGATCTAGGAACTGAACATGGGGCATTACTAGGGGGGTTGCAGGGGGGACAGAATGCACCAGGTGATATCCTAAGGGGGGGTGATACCACTTGCTCCCCAAACATCTGCCTTTTGGGGGGGAATGGGCTGTGACCCCCTTCTAATGATGATACTAGCCTAATGCTACAGCTTTATGACATTAGCATTAGACTACTTTTGACCTTCTGACATTGTCAGGCCTATGACATTCATCTCACTTAAAAACATACACCTTACTACTATCCACAATTTTAGGTATCCACTGAATTTCTTCAAAGGTATCCCTCATGCAGTGGCATCCCTGGGCTTGGTGTCACCTGGAGGGATGACAGTCTCCCCCACTCACTTACGTGGCTGGCTGCCCACCCAAGGCTGCAGAGGGGATGGCTAGGCAAGTGAGGGAAGGGAAGGAGGCTCCATACCGCTCCCTCTTCCATACCTTGCCCTTCCTTCACTTTTATGTGGCTTCATCATGAGGAGGGAGCCAACAAAGGCAAAGCCAGGAGGGCCAGGCTTGGCCCTCATTTTGCTCTGCATGGTTCCCTCCTCATGAGGAAGCTGCATGGAGTTGAAGCCATTTTGCTCTGCATGGTTCCCTCCTCATGAGGAAGCTGCATGGAGTTGAGCCAGGTGGGTTAGGCTCACCTCTCCTCCTCTTCCACCACCTTGACATCCTCCTCAGGAAGAGAGCCACAACAGTGAAGAAGAAGGGGTATGCACCAGCAGTAGCACCAGACACCCCACAGTGGGAGGAGGGCCTCACCAAGTGTCACTCCAATTCTGGGGTGTCACCCAGTGTGACCCGCATCTCCTGCACCTCCCTGGTGATGGCACTGCTGCAAGGAATAAGCGTGCCTTACTGCACTGCTCTACCAGATGAGCTGGAGATTTGTAATAATAATAATA